AAAACATTATCAATTTCTCAAAACCACATAAAACCGTATTATATCGATAGAAACGAATAACAAAAACTAAACATTAAAATCAAGATTTGTCTTGTTGCATTTGGCAAATACCCTTCTAGTTTATTTGAAAAGTTTCATAATCTTAAAATAAATGTCTACAAATTAAATGACAGACAATTTAAAAATGTGTAATTATTACATTTTTTAATCAACCAAGTGATATTTTTACCTTTGATAATAGAGAGGGAAGCTTTCTCCATCTTATAAATAGAAGTAGCATGTAAACCTACTTTTGACAGTGGACACTTAATCTGTAACAAATAAAAATAAAAATGTGGACACTTAATATGAGATGTAGGGAGTAGTATTTTTTTTGGAAAAAAGTTGTATTATTGTTATTATAAGTTGTATTTTTATTTTTATTTTTTTAATCTAAAACTTATTTTAATTAGCATTTAATAATATAATTTTCAACAACATTTAAATAATATTTTAAAAATTAAAAAAAGATCCTGATTCCTAATTGGTTACAACGTTGGACCCGAATGAGACGAAGTTTTTAGTTGATGGCTAATTGGCTGGTGACGTTTTGGACCATGCTTCACTTTTTGACATGGACCACGCCTTTTTTGGATCGGACCCTGTGCACCTCTAACATCAATGTCTAATCGTTAAGACTGAATGAGACAATACGTAACTAAGGGGCCGTTTACTAAATACTTACCCGGTAGGTGTGGATCGGATAACTTTCCTCACCTGATGCACATGACAATGTTGAAAATCTTACCCGGTAAAAGCGATGATAGGGATGGAGAATCTTACCCGGTAAGTGATGGTGAAGACTTTTACCCGGGTAAGCGTTTACCAGGTAAATTGTTGTATACGATACCGTTTTAATATACTATAATCTCATACGGTAAAATAGATTATAGTGTTAACTTCTACTGGTAAACACTTACCAGGTAAGTATTTGGGTAAACGGCCCCTAACATAACATTTAAGAAGATTATTTAGTTACAAATTATTTTTACCATTAATAACTTAAATTATTTTTACCATTAATAACTTTGTTTTGGGGTTCTCTTTAGAAAATGCTTACATTCTATATACTCTATACTATAAAACATTTAACATAAACTCTTAAAAATCATTTTTTATGCATGAAATATTATTTATTAATGCATATTATATAAAATTTAAGATCACAAGTATATTGTGCGCATTGAAACTCCATATTTGAATTCATTGAAACTAATTATAGGTAAACATTTCATTTTAAATATAAAAAATCTAAAATATAATTAAGATAAGTATTGAGTTGTATCATAATATTTAATTGTTATATATACAAAAAAGATTTGTTAAACCAAAAATAAATTACGTGTTGTTAAATCTAAATTAAATTATAATTAAAAAAAAGTTAGATTAAAGAAAAAAAACGATTTAAATAATTAATTTAACATTAATATCGATATATTTTTTTTCATTTTTTATGATATTTTCAAATTATATTTTATTCAAAAATAAAAACATTACCGCTTTCTCAAAACCACATTAAATCATATCATATCGACAAAGACAAAAAATAAAACAAAATATTAAAATCAAGATCTCTCTCGCTACATTGCGTGAATATCATTCTTTTTCCTGGGGTTTCGTCCTTTTTTTTTTTCCAAAAAGAGCCACTAGCTTGTAGCTTAGTTGGCAAAAAGATAGGATGACTTTGTCTGAATACAAGACATGTCTCGAGTTCGTTCGGGACCCTTCCATTAGCCTTAACCGCTGAGTGAGTCAAAAAATGTCTATCACATCATCTGAGACGATTTTCGTATGGGATAGATTGAATTTATCAGTAATCAATTTTTTCCCATAAAAACAAACAATGTCAGATAGAAGGATTTGCCTTTTGCAGTGTAGCATACTTAATACGAATTGTACAAAAAATTTCTTCAATAATAATCGACAAAAATATTTGATTTTCATGACAAAAGTTGTAAATTTCATAAGATTAAATTGGTGATTATTTGTCATGAAAGTCAAAATACAATAATTGTGTGGAATGACCTTGAATTTATTTGTTACAACTGGAATTAATACTCATAAGTTGGAATTAGTTAAATTTAGATAAATCTAAACATGGTAACGAAACGAGGATGGGGCGAACTTTGTAATTTCTGGCCTCGGTTTTTAGTAACAGTCCCTAGCCCTACTGGTACGGGGATTAATATCTCATCCCCGAGCAAACTCCATGAAGAATTTTCGTATGTTTGAGTTTACTAGGGATCTTTGTCCTTGGCCCCGATCCCGGTTTGAGTAACATCCCCCGACCCTGGTCTTGGTTTGAGTCTACCGGGGATCTTCGGCCCTGGCCACGGGACCTGTTTTAGCGGGAAATTCCCGTCCCTGTTCGGGTCAGGTCAGTCAGATTCCCCACCGAGTAGGGGCAAATCACCATCCTTAGATAAATCTCATGATTAAAAATTTAATTTAAAAATGAAGTTATTATAATATAATATAAAATGAATAAGCTTAAATTTTAAATATCTAAGTTAAAATTCAATTTTCTTGTGGTTATAAATTTAATTCAATAGGTTGTGTATCAGTGTCGTGTAATGCAACGAGATATAAATAGTTTTTTTTTTTTTTTTTTGTAAATTTAAAATTAATGAATCTTTATTTGAAAAGAAAATCCACAATTTATGGAGCATTTTATTATATAGACAGATTTAAAAAAAAAAGTGAACTTCACTTTTGGTCACTCGTGCAGATGGAGCACTTGCGGTAAAAAGAGGAGTCATCATTTAAACCGCATGAAAACCAAAACAAGGAGATGAATCATTTCATTTTCACCACATGTGGCAAGGGTAGTTGCGTCTTTTGCATGATAGATATCACCACTCGGAGATGAATCATCATTTTCATCACCTGAAACCTGTTTTTTGTTGCCCCTCTGCAAGTTACGGCATAGGTATTTGCGGAGGTAGTGAATTTTGGTGAAATTGAAAGAGAAATGACTAGTAGATGAATTAATCTGTGAAAAACGACTATTTCTGTAAGTTTTTCGAAGAAAAAATGGTCTCTTTTTTGCTTTCCTGTAATTTATCCAAAGTTGTTTTTTTTAATTATAGCACGATTTAATATCTTACAAAAAAAGCAAAAAGAACAAACACAATCGTTCGAAAAATTTGGAAAACTTTATTACGTTTGTGGAACTTGTTTTATTTAAAAAAACTTAAATGATTTGGTTGTGATCATATCGATTTTAACTTCTTTTAGCAACGTAAAAATGAAAGGTAAGACCTTCGATTTGCTCGTCTGAAATACAAGTTCAACGACATGTTAGTTAACAGTTTAATAAGACTCACAACTTATTCGGACAACTACTTAGTTATATATGATATGATTGTTCGGTAGTGACTTAAAGACATAAAAAGTAACCTATTCAATAAGCTTTTAGGGGATCCTTATATAGAAAGCCAATATTTTTCAAAAATCTCTCTCTCTTCAATAAAAAAAAAACGTTCCTTTAATGTAGAAAAAATTTCAACCAGACAAAAACCTGCTCAATCTATACAAACAGACAGTTTTATTCATATATGACTTAATAGAAACCAATCAAACAACCTCTAAATCTCTTTAAAATTATTTTAGAGTTTTTTTCCAATTAATTTTAAAACTTTATAAAATTAATTGGAGTTTACACAAAGAAATTGGTCTAAACACTTTTAAAATAAAATATAGAAACAAAGATGTAAAGTTAAAAAGACCAAATGGGAAGAAAAGTCCAACATTACMCCCCCCCCCCCTCTCCACTATGAAGTTTCCAAATTCTATTGTTATGTTTTATAATTTAATTTATGTTTAATTGTTTAATATATCTAATCAAACACCCATTTAATTAGGGGTGTTTATGAGTCGAGTTGATCGGGTTAAAGATATTTGAACAACACAACTCAATGCTTGCGATTTGAAAAAATCTTAACCAATAGAATTACCTCGGGGGACGTTTTTGACCATATAGGGGGAAATGTGGACCCCTTGTGTACTTTGTTGGTCAAATCGCCCCGGTATGATCAAAAGCCTTCGAGGGTGATTTCACAACAAAAATATTGTGAAGATTACGCTCACAATTTTATAATAAAGATTAAAATGTAAAAAATGTTTTCATAAAACTAATGAAAACATGCCTATGTCAAGTTATTCCAAGTCTATATATAGAAAGAGAAAAGTGTACTTAACCTATCCAATAAATAAATAGCATATTAAACAAAAGATAGTGGATACACAACATAGATCCATGGAATACTCATTGAAAAAGACAAGTCACGTACACCCCCTTTACCAACCTGATTATGATTCATGAAGTAGTGATATGATATCATTTGCCCACTTTTACCCAATCCAACACACCCATAGGTTATTATTAGGTAAGTGAAATTGGAATCAAAGTCGATTCAACGTACCAAAACCAGATCAAAATTCAGCTTACAGACGTCAATTATCTTCTCTCACTCCCTCCCTCCCTCCCTCCTCTCTTACTTTCCCTTTTTTCCATAACTAACACCAAGAGTTTCTCTAAATTGCTTCCGCCATAGCTGGAAACCCACAGCTTTCTTTATCTCTTATCTATTTCTGGGTTTCTGAGCTACAAATCTCCACTGATTTAAGGTCATTTTTTTGGAGTTTTCTCTAATTCGGGTTTTCATCAAGTTTTAAACCCTTTGAGAAAATATTGTCTCCTCTTATCTTGTGGGTCTGGTTCGATATAGATAGATACACACAGATTTGAAGCTTTTCTTGATGATGAATGTTACCTTTGTCTTTATTAGCTAAAACTGCAATTAGATTTAATCTATTTCTGTAAAAAAGCCATTACCCAGATGGTGAAATGTTCTTTCCACCATTTGAATCTCTATTGCTATTAGAACACACACGCACACACACTTTCATCCTCTTTATTCCAATTCCAGTTACTTTAATAAAGATCCATGATTATGATGATGGGTGTAGAGGTCATCAGTTATGAAAAAGCTTTAAGGGTTTTGGAGCTCATTTCAACTGGCTTCAGTTTGTCATTTGTGTTTCTATCTCTTCTAGTTGTTTTGGGCAGAAAGATAGAAGTTTATCTTCATTCAAATCAATTGATCAAGCAAGATTCAGATGGGGTTAATGAAGCTACTACCATTTTCACTGAAATTCAGAGTGTAGAAATTGGCAAAACTTATAAAGCTTCACTTTATTGCTGCTTCTATGTTTTGTTTCTACAAATTGTGGTTTTGTGTTATAATGGTATCTATTTGATCCAAGGGGGAAAGGGTATTAACTTGGAGCCTTTGATCTTGCCTACATCTCAGGGTTTATCTTGGTTAGTTTTGAGCTTTTCTGTTCATAATTGTAGGGTAAAACCTCTTGAGAAGTTCCCATTACTAATTAGGTTATGGTGGATTGTATCTTTTATCATCTGTTTATCTACCCTTTATGCTGATGGGATGGAAATTGGAATTGAAGGATCAAAACACTTGAATTCACATCTTGTAGCTAATCTTGCATCAACCCCAGTTCTTGGTTTCTTGTGTTTTGTTGGTTTGAGGGGTGTAAGTGGTATAGAAATTGTAAGGGGTTCGGATCTTCAAGAGCCATTGTTGGTGGAAGAAGATGCGGGTTGTCTTAAGGTTACCGCTTATAGTGACGCGGGTGTCTTTAGTTTAGCCACTTTATCGTGGTTAAACTCTCTTCTAGCCATCGGTGCTAGAAGACCGCTTGAACTCAGAGATATCCCACTTCTTGCTCCAAAAGACCGGTCTAAGTTCAACTATAAGATCGTAAATTCGAATTGGGAGAAGTTAAAATCCGAAAATCAGCCATCTTTAGGTTGGGCTCTCTTTAGATCATTTTGGAAAGAAGCAGCCAAAAATGCGGTTTTTGCAGGATTGTACACTTTAGTTTCGTATGTAGGTCCGTATATGATTAGCGATTTCGTTGATTATCTAGGCGGAATCGAGACTTTCCCTCATGAAGGTTATGTTCTTGCTGGTGTGTTCTTTGTAGCTAAATTGATGGAGACTTTGACTACCCGGCAATGGTACCTTGGTGTCGACATTTTGGGAATGCACGTGAGATCGGCTCTCACCGCCATGGTTTACCAAAAGGGGCTCCGTCTTTCGAGCTCATCGAAACAAAGTCACACCAGTGGCGAAATCGTAAACTACATGGCGGTAGATGTACAAAGAGTAGGAGATTATGCTTGGTATCTCCATGATATATGGATGCTACCAATGCAGATCATTCTTGCACTTGCAATTCTGTACAAAAGTGTCGGAATTGCTTGTATCGCGACTCTAATTGCCACCATTCTTTCGATAGTTATAACGATTCCTCTAGCACAAGTTCAAGAACTTTACCAAGATAAGTTGATGGCTGCAAAAGATGATCGGATGAGAAAGACGTCCGAATGTCTTAGAAACATGAGGATTCTTAAATCACAAGCTTGGGAAGATCGGTATAGAAGGCGATTAGAGGAAATGAGGAGTGTTGAGTTTAGATGGCTCAAGAAAGCTCTCTATTCACAGGCATTCATCACTTTCTTTTTCTGGAGTTCTCCGATTTTTGTGGCTGCGGTCACTTTCGGAACTTCAATGTTGATCGGTCGTCAGCTTACGGCCGGAGGTGTTCTTTCGGCTTTAGCCACTTTTAGGATCCTCCAAGAACCACTCAGGAACTTCCCTGATTTGGTATCGATGATGGCACAGACAAAAGTGTCTCTTGATCGAATCACTGGATTCTTACAGGAAGAAGAGCTGCAAGAAGATGCAACGATTGTGTTACAACGAGGAGTCTCGAATGTGGCAATAGAAGTTAAAGATGGCGAGTTTCGGTGGGACCCATCTGTTCCGAGGCCAACGTTATCTGGTATTGAAGTGAAAGTAAACAGAGGGATGCGTGTGGCGGTCTGTGGTGGTGTTGGGTCTGGTAAATCAAGCTTTCTTTCTTGTATTCTTGGTGAGATACCAAAAGTTTCTGGTGAAGTAAGTTCCTTTTGGATGTTTAGATTCAACGGTTCAGGTTCAGGGAAAAACCGTAAAGAAAATAAAAAACTGAGGAATACCCTGATAATCGTTCATCTAGACGGTATGCATATGTGCACACAAGTGATATGTACATGCAAGTAATTTGTAACTTGCACATGCACACGTGCATAAAAACTAAAAACAACTAATTATACATGTATATACATGTGCATATGCACCACATGCACATGTGCATAAAAACCAAAAAACAGCTTCAATTACTTGTATGCTTATGTGCATACCATCCTATGAACGGTTATCAGGGTGTTCGTCAGTTTTTCATTTTTTGGGTTTTCCCCAAAACCTCCCTCTAGATTGAAGATTTAGTTTCTTGATGTAAATTGAACCATATAAACCCAATTTTTTTCTTGTTTTGAACTGTAATTCAGGTTAAGATATGTGGGTCTGCAGCATATGTATCTCAATCTTCTTGGATACAATCGGGAAACATAGAAGAAAACATCTTGTTCGGTAATCCAAAAGACAAAGCAAAGTACAAAAATGTTCTTCACGCGTGTTCGCTCAAACGGGATTTGGAGCTTTTTTCACATGGAGATCAAACCATCATCGGTGATCGAGGCATAAACTTGAGCGGAGGCCAGAAACAACGAGTTCAGCTAGCCAGAGCACTTTATCAAGATGCCGATATTTATCTTCTTGATGACCCTTTTAGTGCCGTGGATGCACACACCGGTTCAGAACTGTTTACGGTTAGAATTGCTCACTAAAGCCATAAGATTTTCATATTATCGTTGCTATGTGAGTCGATCTAACATGCAATATCGTTCTTCAGGAGTACATATTGACAGCATTAGCTACTAAAACTGTAGTCTATGTAACACATCAAATTGAATTTCTACCAGCTGCTGACTTGATACTGGTAAAAAACCTTCTTTCTTTTATAGTTTGTATTCGTTTTCGCACAGAAAGTTCACGCGTAATCTTTCACATTACAGGTTCTTAAAGAAGGTCAAATCATTCAAGCTGGAAAATATGATGATCTCTTGCAAGCAGGAACCGATTTCAACACGTTGGTTTCAGCTCATCAAGAAGCAATCGAAGCTATGGATATTTACAATCATTCATCCGAAGAATCAGATGAAAACGACCCTCTTGATAGGCCGATTCATATGGGTAAGAAATGTGAGTCAGTTGGAAGCAGTATGGACCGAATGGCAAAGGTTCCAACCGAAGGCCCGTCCCGTTCAGACCTTAAAGCAATCAAAGAGAAGAAGAAAGCGAAACGTTCACGAAAGAAACAGCTTGTTCAAGAAGAAGAAAGGGAAAGAGGGAAAATTAGTATGAAAATATATTTTTCGTATATGGCTGCAGCTTATAAGGGCTTATTGGTTCCGCTTATTATTATAGCACAGACCCTTTTTCAGGTTCTTCAGATAGCTAGTAATTGGTGGATGGCTTGGGCTAATCCGCAAACAGACGGTGATTCAGCTAGAGTTAGTAGTATAGTGCTTATTGGAGTTTATATGGCACTTGCTTTCGGGAGCTCGTGGTTTATTTTCGTTAGGGCGGTTTTAGTAGCGACATTTGGTCTTGCTGCTGCACAGAAACTGTTTATGAAAATGCTTATAAACGTGTTTAGAGCACCGATGTCTTTCTTTGACTCTACGCCCGCTGGACGGATATTAAATCGTGTATGTTTGCCTTTTCTTTTTCTGTCTGTTAGTTGGTTTTCTTTTGTGAATGCAATCTTGATCCCTTTTTTGGCTTATCAGGTGTCTGTTGATCAAAGTGTTGTTGATCTCGACATTCCTTTTAGACTCGGGGGATTTGCTTCAACGACTATTCAACTTCTTGGAATCGTTGGTGTAATGACTCAGGTTACGTGGCAAGTGTTGCTTCTTGTTGTCCCGATGGCGATTGCTTGCTTGTGGATGCAGGTAAATTACTTTGTCGATATTTGGCAACCATAAGCTAGCTTATTGGAAAAGCCCGTTTGGTAAGTCATAAACTAGCTTGTCGAAAAGATCGAGGTTTTTTCTTCCAATCGTTCCCCTTATATGTTAGAATTGAGCAACTTTTCAACACGTCTATGTGGGTGCATTTGGTATCCAATCAGGACAAGGACAATACATGACAATTGTTCAACATTTGGTAAGATATAACAGATAAAATGACAAATTTACCTCTAATGAGTTTTTTATATTATATATATTTGGATTAATTTATTAAATTATAATAAAAAAATATTTTTTATAATAAAATATACTATTAGAAAGTTTTTGTCAAGACGATTAAAATGATACCAAAATAAAAAGTTTATGTAGTTTCCAATTTTTATTCTAGTACATTCTTCATATTATTTTATTATTGTTAATATTTAATAAATTACAAAAATTAACCAAAATATAGAAACCACATAAAAATAATATTTTTAGGACAATAAAGTGAGTTTAAAAAGCATAAAATACAATAAATAAAATTTAAAGAATGAATAAAATGTAATCAGTGAAGCGTATTTGATGTTTTAGATGAGAATTAAGTCTTATTTTGAGATTATATCGGTAAAATGTAGGTTTGTTCCATCCTGTTCCATGGGGTGGGGTGGAACAGGTTGTTCCTGTCTTGTTCCACATAAAAGTTCCGGTCTGTTCCACATAGAAGTCCTGCCAAACATGGAACAGTGATCCTTGTTATGTTTTGTCTTGTCCAGTGTACCAAATGCACCATTTAGGTCATTTTACATTGTCCTCTAGTTTATCAGCCGGTTTTTACCAAAGGCGACTAGTTTTTCCAGCTAACAAAGCTAGTTATAATTGAACGAGTGCAGAAATACTACATGGCCTCGTCAAGGGAACTAGTGCGTATTGTTAGCATCCAGAAATCTCCGATCATCAATCTTTTTGGAGAATCAATTGCCGGGGCAGCTACAATCCGAGGTTTTGGACAAGAAAAACGGTTTATGAAGAGGAACCTCTATCTTCTTGATTGCTTTGCTCGTCCATTCTTTTGTAGCATTGCCGCTATCGAATGGCTTTGCCTACGGATGGAATTATTATCAACCTTTGTCTTCGCTTTTTGTTTGGTTTTATTAGTGAGTTTCCCACGTAAAGCTATAGACCCGAGTAAGTTTTCATGTTGTTTAGAAAATACAAATGCTATTCAGCCATTTAAGGCGAAATTCGTCAAAATGCAACAAAGTTCCAAAATTTCCTATTTTGTACTCATTTTGACCGATAACCTGTGATCTTGTTTCTTTGACCCGCTTACGAAGGTCAAAGAAGGGGTTATGGTGAAGTGGACTATAAACTTGATATCCACGTCATCAGATGTTAGAAGATTAGCAAGTCACCCAGTCAAATCGGTACAAAATAGCAAAATTTGAAACTTTGTTAAACTAAATAGGAACTAAAGCAAGCTTCATTGCATTTCGATGCATTTTGCCTTATAATATAGAGGGAGGTTTAGGGGAAAATCCCCCAAAAAATGAAAATTGAGGAACACCTTGGTAACCGTTAACGATATACACGTGCATACAAGTAATTGAAGTTGTTTTTTAGTTTCTATGTGCATGTGCATACTGTAAAGATAATGAATACTACGGTGTTCCTCAGTTTTTCATTTTTTTTTTTTTTTGGTTTTCCCCTGAACCTAACCCTATACCCTATACCCTATATATATTAAACGTTCTTATCGAGAGGTTTGCTTCTCCATCAGGTATGGCGGGATTGGCTGTGACGTATGGTCTACAATTGAATGCACGGTTATCACGGTGGATACTTAGCTTTTGCAAGCTTGAAAATAAAATCATATCTATAGAGAGAATTCATCAATATTGCCACATCCCGAGTGAAGCTCCACCAATTATCGAAGCATGTCGCCCCCCGCCCTTGTGGCCCGAGGAAGGAAACATTGAAATCATAGATTTGAAGGTATATTTACGGCATTTGGTTGTTTTCATATATGCTTTTCGTACACCTCTTTTGTTTTCACTTCTCATTGCAAATTGACCGCAAATACTATAGTTTGCAAGAATTAACGATTTTAGACAAATCGTGGAAATGCAAATGCAGAAAGACAATAATACTCGACTCTTTGCCCTCGGGGCGTAGCTCAGTTGGCAAAGGGGTAGAGTGACTTTGCTCAAATACACAACATATTCAAGTTTAGATCATGCAAGAGACGGGCTTGAACCCCTTTGCTAGCCTCAGTCGCTGACTCAGCTCTGAAATGCCTCCTCGCATGTGGTTCCTAGGGGGCGGGTTCCTTGTGGGGCCGGTCAAGGTTACCGGTAATCAACCTTTTCGTCAAATACTCCGAGTCTTTGTACAAAACATCCTCACACTTTTTTTCTTTTCTTCTTTACAACCAAATGTTCCACATATTCTCACTGGTGTCAAAGCGAACCCGTGATCGTTTGGTAGGGATGCTCATGGGTTGGGTTGATCGGGTTGAAGGCATTTGAACAACCCAACCAACCCAAAATATATCATTAGAAAGTTTTCGTCAAGACGATTAAATTGACACCAAGATAAAAAGTTTATGTACAATTTTTATTTTATACCTTTTCTATATTACTTTTTGCTATTAATCTTTAATAAATTATATAAATTTATCAAAATATAGAATCCGTATAAAAATAATATTCTGAAGTCAGTAAAGTGAAAGTTTAAAGAGCATAAAATACAATAAATAAAATCTAAAGAGGAAGGTGTATTTGATATTTTAGAAGAGAATTAAGTTTTATTTTGAGGTTATATTGGTAAAATATAGCCATATAGGTCTGTTCTATGGGGTGGGGGTAGAACACTCGTGTTCCACTCCGTTCCTATTTGTTCCACATAAAAGTCCAGCCAAACAGGGAACAGTGATCCCAACAATCCCTGTTCTGTCACGTCCAGTGTACCAAACGCACCCTATATGTTGGAACCATCGATCTTTCTACTCAAAAGCTTTTTTGGAGAGTGATATGACGAGGTTCCACATATTCTCATGCCCTACAGTTGGAAGGGTTTTTATCTCGTTGAAATTTACTAAAGAAATTTGATATAAGATGGGGTAAATCGAATACATTCATTCATACTGATGGACGTGGTATGATTCATAGGTTCGGTACAAAGAAAATTTGCCGGTGGTGCTTCGTGGTGTAACGTGTGCATTTCCCGGGGGGAAGAAGATCGGGATCGTTGGACGTACCGGAAGCGGTAAATCGACTCTTATTCAGGTGCTATTTCGACTAATTGAACCAGAAAGTGGCAGAATTATTATTGATAATATCGATATATCATCCATCGGACTTCATGATCTCCGTAGCCGGCTTAGTATCATACCCCAAGATCCCACCTTATTTGAAGGGACCATTAGGGGCAACCTTGATCCCCTCGAAGAACATTCCGATCAAGAAGTCTGGGAGGTTAGATATCTACTTTCTGATTGTTTTTCCATTAAGGGCATTGTTTGTTAGTAGCTTAATGAGCTTAATGGGCCCACAGCATATTCAATCAGCTATACATGACTGTTTCGTTGTGGCTTAATGGTATGGAAAGTGGCTTACTCGGTAAGTTTCCAGGGGCACTTTATGCAGACAGCCAAGTTTTTTCAAAACCTGTCTTCTCAATCAAAAACCATAGCTCATTTCGTCTATGAAGAAACCCATCCAACAAAAACCTTCGCAATCTATAGATCGATAAATCCACACAAAGAGCTTTATCTATACATGACTCAATGGAAAACCAACCAAACAGCTTCTCATTAAGTCATGTATGGATAAAGTTGTGTGTGTGGATTAATCTGCCTGTATAGATTGGGATTTTTTTTATTTGAGTGTTTTCTCATATATGGAAAGTAGTGTTTTTTTAAGTGGGATGGGCAGGTTTAGGAAAAAAAACTTGGCTTTATGTATAAAACTTCCTCTAGAAGCTTACTGAATAAGCCACTTTCTATTCTATTAAGCCACTACCAAACAATCATGTATAGATGACCAAATAAGTTGAGTTTCATTAAGCTGTTAAATACATGCCCTAAGTTCTGTATGGATAAAGTTGTCTGTATGGAAATTTGACTACTTTGAATATGATGAAACTTCACGATTAAATGAATGCGAGTCTATGATATGTGATAGGCACTTGATAAATCTCAACTTGGAGACGTAGTTCGTGAGAAAGAGCTAAAGCTCGATGCACCAGGTACATGATGGTTGCAATTCGAGGCTAAGAAGTTTAATTTCAGTTGATTAAGTGAAAATCTTCGGGTTTCTTGTTTTGTGGATTAAATGAATTGTTGTTGCAGTTTTAGAAAACGGAGATAATTGGAGCGTGGGTCAACGGCAACTTGTTTCATTGGGTCGGGCTTTGCTTAAACAGGCTCGAATCCTTGTGCTTGATGAAGCAACGGCTTCGGTTGATTCAGCCACCGATAATCTTATCCAGAAGATTATACGAACCGAATTTAAGGATTGTACTGTGTGTACTATCGCTCATCGAATCCCGACTGTTATCGATAGCGATCTCGTCCTTGTTCTCAGTGATGGTATGTTTGTTCTTCCGGTTATGTCTTAATAGACTGCTTTATATGACTTACGGTTTATAGAACCAAATAATTATGCGTCATATATAAAAGTGTTATAATAAGTTGATAGGTTGCTTTTGTATAACCTAACCAATTTTTCAGGACACTTCTGAAATAAAGTGTTGTGTTAGCTTTTTTACAGGACATTTTCAAGAAGTGTCCTATGAACACATGTTAATAGTTTCATTTTCGTCTCTGTGGTTTAGAAATTGCCATTTTTGTCCCCGGGCTAATTCCTACCTTTAAGTAATAAACCACTAGGATTGAAACAATGACAAATTGTAAATTGTAAGAACAAAAATAATAATGAATTACACACTATACGGGCTAAACTCGTAATTTCCAAACCATATGGACAAAAAGTGCAACTTTTAACAGAGGGACGAAAAATGTAATTTGCTCTTTGAAAATGTCCTAAAAAACTTGTAAGCACACTGAAAAGCGTTATATCAACTTATTATAACATCTTTATATGGAACGTACCTATAAAACAGTCTATCTTGACATTTGAACATATTTGATGAATTTGAGTTGATTTTGTAGGGCAAGTTGCGGAATTTGATTCTCCGGGTCGATTATTAGAGGACAAGTTTTCGATGTTTTATAAGTTGGTAACGGAGTACTCGTCTAGATCAAGTGGTATACCGGATTGTTGACGAAGAAGAACGAGGGTACGTGACGCATTACGAACCGGGCAATATTAATTAATATTTGTAACATATAAATACCTGAAAATAAAATTAAAAATGAAGAAAAGGTATATATATATATGCATTTGGTTGAGAATTAATAGGACAATTTTGTAATTAGAATCTAAGAAATATTATCCTTTCTAATTCTACCATATTGACTAGAGCTATCTTTGACTTTATTTGTTGTTGATTTTGTATGTAAAGTATTTACATTAATTGTTAGATATTTATGGTGGGGACTGGGGTTCGGGATGAGCAAAAAGTTATTTGATTCAATTTAGACTGATCGATTCAATAAGAATTGACTGATCATAATTGGATATCCAATTGTAACTGGATTGAATTGGATCCAAAATTTTAACATCTAAATTTGACCGGTTAGTTCTTGAATGACAGTCTAAAATCCAGTAAAACAGAATCTATTCCAATCCCATGTTTGATTTGTTAGATTATCTGGAAAAAAGAAATGCACAATATACTATATTTGAACGAATTTAGGGGACGTTTACAAAACGCTTACCAGGTTAAGTGTTTACTGACAAAATTCAACGTTATTACTTACAAAGTAAGATTTTAGTTCACAAGAAGAGTACCATATGCAACAATTTTACCCGGTAAGTGCTAACTGTGGTAAGAGTCTCGGTGCTTGTCTTTTCTCTTATCGAGTAAGATTCTTGCTCCTTCACATAATTAAATAATTAATATTTTTTTAATAAATTAATGTTATTAAAAAACAATTTGTATTTCCTTTTGATTTTATTCAATAAAAAGTGTAGAAGTGTGTGTGAAGGAACATGTTTTTGGCTTATAGATAGAGAAAGGCATCTTCTTGTATACTATTGAGTTTATATATGCTAGCACCAGGTGTATAACTAAAGCATGGTTCTTTCTTGCTAACTATAACCTCCACCATGAACCACCACAAACAACCACCACCACCCACCACCACCACCATCAACCTATCGGCTCTCTTGATGTCGTCGGAGAGCAACCGCAATCCCGCCTTCCCACCACCGAATGTGGAGGGCATGAACATGGGGGCCACAATGATCATCCACCGTGGGTCGGATGATGGCGGTGGTGTAAACATTTATGTAAATAACAATATACAAGGGTTGAATAACTCTGTAATGATCGGAAGCCGGTTGTACATGGGGGATCCCGGGGTTCGGTTCACTTTCAGAGATTCAAAGTTGGAGAGTTGGTTTTCAAAGAAAAGTAGCAGTCACGAAGGTTGTTTATCTTTTGGATTTTACGCGTTATCAATTTGTGTCATCGTTGTCGCTTTCATACTCGTGTTTTTCTTGTGAGCTTAACTTCGATTCGTTTCGTTATATATAGAGGAAAGTCCAGTCACAAACCTTATTTCCGTTGTGAATCAGGGGACAAACGAGTGTGCAACAAGTGCCCCATTTTGTCCTCATTTATCATGAATGATGAACGTGAATTTTTTACAACATTCATGATGAATGTTGCACCATAAAAGATGAATAATACATCATTTATGATAAAATATCCCGTGAATATCTGAAACACGTTACATGCTCTTGTTTGTGCCCTGGTTCTGGTTGTAAACGGAAGTTATGTTTGCAACTGAATCTCTCCCTATATATATATATATATATATATGATAAATATAGTATATCATTTGTTGATCCATTTTGTTTCCGCATTCATTATTGGGTAGTTTGCACAACCCACATTTTGGACATCGTATGTCAGCTTTTAATATAAGAATCTAACAAGTGTTTCAGAGCATACAATTATAATATATATATATATATATATATGTGTGTGTGAAAGATCGTGTGAGAAATGTAAGAAGTGATCTGGACCCTTGATAACCTTTAATCTGAAACGCACTCGTGAATCGCATTTATTACAGGGATTAATCTGGTGCATCTCATCCTAATGTGCATCCCGGTTCCTTCTTAGGGGTTGTTTGTTTACCTATTAATAGTTCTATTAAGAGACAACCTCGAAATTTCTAAAAGGTGAATCTTGTTTGACAAAAAAAATTTGTTTCTAAATGGTTCTAAAACCCTCTGATAATTTTGTATCACGAGTCTCCCTTAACCATTCAGCGCCCTAATTTCATTGTAAACAATTACCAAACAATTATATTTCATTTTGCCCTATTTTATGAGAGTCTCTTAATCATTTTGACCACTTAACCATTCCGCACCAAACCATTTAACAACTGCTAAACAGCCCCTTACGCTTTTCAATTTAATCTACATCGTTTAGATTGATTCGATAATATGGACGGATGGTTAAGATTGGTTTGTACGATGTGCAACATTTAATCAGTTTGTATCTGATTTAGTCTATATACATCAATGATTTTATCTGCAAACCCAGTCATTAATACAAACCATAAAAAGCCTTATCTTGTGATTAAAATGGGCAACCCAAATAACAATGCAATCTCATACAAACCAAACTATCTTTCAAGGCTCATCCATGTGCCAAGAAAATATTATATCAAAAATTAAATTAAAAAATAAATAAACATCTTCTTCTCTTGAGTGCTGAATGCAATTCATCATATACAATTTCTTGATTTGGGGCTTCTAAGGATCCTTAGTCTTTTCACAGAGCTAACAAACATCCTGAAATAAGATTATAAAACCCTGACTTAATAATACAGACAGAGCTTAATGAAAAAATAACGGTTGAGAAAACGTACTGCCAAGGAACATCCCCGACAAGCATACAGTCTCCGTCTTTGTCTTCATACGTCAGCACAAACTCGGATGTCCCACTCAACAATCTTGAACGTCCTATTGTTTCTGTATTCGACACTAAGAAAGACGGAGTTTAGAATCCCGAGTTAAAGATCAAACTTTGATGGCACATTTGGTGTTGCTTACACTATAGAAAAATCGGCTTTATAGGACACCAAATATGTTAAAATGTCATAAATCATAATAAACTGCTTTATATGACCAAACAATTGGGTATCCTATGAAAAGGCGTTATAATAAGTTGATATGACGTATTTAGGCATCCTAACAAGTTTTTTTGGACACGTTGAAATAAAGTGTCATATTAGCTTTTTCGTAGGACATAGTATCTTTACATGGGACGTGTTTTTATAGGACACTATTTCGAATAATATCACAAAAATACTTATAAGACGCTTTATTTCAAAATTGTATTAAAGACATGATATCAATTTATTTCAACACCCTTAAACTTAAATCTTATAAAACAGTCAATTAGAACATTTAGACATATTTGGCTGTCTTATAAAGCTGATTTTGCTGTAGTGCCAATCGTCAAATATGAATTTATGTGGTTTTACGGCTTCTAAAAGTAAAACACACACAGACACACATATATGTGCCTTTTTTATTCTAACAAATTCCCTTTATTTATAGGCAATATAAATAAGATACTCAATTTGTTATCTGTGTAACAATTTACATTATGGGGTTTACATATACTCATAATTTTTTTATAATGGAAACTGAGAAGGATTTTTTATTCAAAAGAATAAATACTGATTAAATATGTATCAATTTGTATTTTCTTATATTATTAGGCAAACCAAATTTTAGATTCAAACCCAAGAATCATTCAGGATTTCTCAGTCAACGAATAGTTAATGGTTCCCATTTGTCATAAATTTTGGCTTTTTTGGATGAAAATATACATTTGATTTTTCGATAAAAAAGCAAGGGGAAGTTTTTTGGCATTTATATATAAATAGAAAGCATATATAAGCTTGACTTACGTCTTCCATAGAACATGTTCTCCAAGGTCCGAGCTAACGTTTCATAGGAGTTGTGAGCATTGAGATCGACTTTTCTTCCGATTAGCGTTCCATCCATATTCACCTTTACGGATAGATAACTTTTGGCTCTTGAGCTATATTCCTTGCGTTCTGACTTGATCCGGTTAGCCAAGATTGGCATCCGGTGAGCTCTTCTTATCGGGGGCCATCCAACCACACTTCAACAACACAATTGCAAAAGAAAATTTCAGCATCAACACACAATCGTGCCCATTGGTAATTAAAAGTGAGGAACACCTTGGTTTGGTAACCATTCATCTGGATGGTATGTACATATGCATATTGGTAATTAAGTTGTTTCTTGGTTTTTAGTTGCTTAAAATTACCGGTATGCACTGTCCAGATGAATGATTACCACACTGTTCCTTAGTTTTTCATTTTTTTTTTTGCAGTTTTTCGTAAAACATGATTATATATATATATATATATATATATATATATATATATATCTGGTGCATCTAGGTGCACCTCATATGTGTTGACATTCAATTAGAATTGATCCAAGGGTAAAGATCACTTCTTATACTTCTCATTATAACTTCTATTTTCATCGAAACCAAACCCTATATGAGACCCTATATGAGAAATTGTTAGTCGGAGATTACACAAGTTACACTTAACGCAACTTACATAACCCACTTTTTCAATACAATATTCACAAAAAGTAGACGTTACGCAAGTTGCATAAATGCTACTTGCATAATGTCTATATGGACAAACAAAAAGCAGACATTACGCAAGTAGCACTTGATCAACTTGCATAATGTCTAATTTTTGTGAATATTATGGTGCAAAAGTAGATCATGCCAGTTGCGTAAGTGCTACCTGCATAATCTCCTATTATTTCTATTTCGGTCAATTTATTAAAAATGTGGCTATCAAGTGAAGAGAGGAGGCCTCAATGCTATTTCAGTCAATTTCCCCCATTATATTACTACATGCACACTTACTCCACTAATCTCATCCTCACATATGTCAACACCAAAACATACATCTTACATTTTCAATACATAATTTTAGCCTCATTTAATATAAAGAGGTGTGCATACACCAATAGAGTATATTTCAAATGCAACCATGTCCATTTGTACAACCAATGCAACCCAATCAATTGAGATATTTATGGAAATGATGAGAGTTCATTTATTATGATTTGCATATTTATGGAAGACGAGTAGAGTTCATTAATTATGATCAATACTTTATATTAGGAAACAATCAAAACTTTTATGAAATCATATATTCATCAAATTAAATGGACGGTTGAGATTAAGTTATATTGGTTATACAAATATAAAAAATTATATAATAACTCACATCTACAATAATATATTACTGAAACTATGGAAGATTCTCAAATCACGCAAGGGTATGGCCTAAAAACAAGAAAACTCCCAAATAGACAGGTGGCATGGCCTAAAAACATAGAAAACTCCAAAATCCCATATGGGTATGCCATAAAAAGATATGACAAGAGATCCAGAAATTTTATTTTAGCATGGAGAAGTGAAAGTAAGTTCGGTAAAAAAAAAATTAATTCAGATAATTTTTTTAACTTTTTGACTGGGGTCTCTTTATACGCTGTCTCCGCCTTGCACATAATGGTGTGGCCTAAAAACATGGAAAATTTCACATACATGCATGGCAGAGAAAGGATTTTTAACCAAAATTAACATATAATTAACCTATTGTTTTTTACTTTTACTTGTCACATCTTAAATTTAAGATACATATAAAAACCTTACAAATACAATATCTCAAGAACCCAATACCCATAAATCAAGATTTGTTTATAATAACCAAAACACCTTTGATTGATGCAGCGGTATGTAAATCTTTGGCCTCCTTAGAATTCAGAGGTTTAAACACCCAAATACAATATTTTAATAAAAACTAAAAAGAAGGCAATCTAAGAAGAGAATTTGATTACCTGGCAGCATTAGGAGGAGAAACAGAATCAATAGCACTTTTTTTAAATCCAGCAATGGATGAATTGGTGATATTCACAGATGACGAAGATGAAGATGAAGAACAAGAGTTAGGTCTCAAGATTCTAGAACCTTCTTGGATTGCATTCGAACCACCACCACCAATTCTCAACCCTAACCCCAATTCAAGATCATCATCAACTGGGTACGATGAAGAAACCTCAGCCAACATATCCTGATCGTTCATCGTGTCATCTTCCTTTGAATTAGTCAAAATCGACCCACAAGACGGCACTCCTCCACCATCACCACCACCACCACCGTCGGCGCCGCCGTGAATTCCACCCAGTAATCCAAGAGTACCATCCATTTTTTTGTCTTTCAAGAATGCTATGAAATCAAGAAGATATATGAAGGTGAAAACAGGGGAGGTGAAGTGCAAAGAAAGAAACTTCAGGGGGGTGGGGGGGGGGGGGGGGGGGTGGGGGACCCACTTGGTCGGATTCGTGCGCCTTAATTCATGATCGATTTCTCCAAAAACACACACACACACACACACTTGTGTGTTTCCATTTGAACCAAACAATGGCATGAAAGAGGCATTCTGGATCAACCTTTATTTACTTCTTTTGTAATTGCATTTTCTCCTTGTGTCGGTTTACAACCAATGAAAAGTGCTCCATTTTTGACTAAAAATCGGGGAATTGACCGAAATAATCAATATTTACAATCAAATTTAAGGAGTGTTTGAAATTGCTTATAAAAACAACTTATTGACTTATTCTAATATGATACCGGTAATAAACAGTTTTGAGTGTTTGGATAAACAACTTATACTGATGTCAAACCGGTATTAAGGAGTTTTTGAAGAAGTTAAATTATTATAACTTATAATAAGTTGATAAACATTTTTGTAGAAAAACATATAAGTTGTTTCAAATAAGCAATCTCAATCACCTCCTTATTTTTGACATCAAATTTTCACTTTAGTCAAAGTTTAGGTAAGTATTTTACGTATTTATGTAAACCCATTTTCGGAAATCCAAAAATAATATTTATACAAATGGAATCATTAAGCAAATTACCTAAATTTGTGTAAAGATTTTTTTTTAATTTAAAAAAGAGTAAATTGTATGAAAAAATAATGTACTTTAACTTGAAATCTATTTTGGATAACATACTTTCAAAATATCCATTTTGGTATCTAAGATGTAAAGTCTTAAACATTTAAGTATCCGGTAACATGTTAAAGCATTAACCGGTTACTATATTGATGTAGCGAGTGATGAGATGAAATTGGGTTGAATAAAAAATAATATTGAGTTGAATACGACGTCACTCGTCACATTAACAGGGTAACCGGTTAATGCTTCAACCGATTACCCGAGTACTTAAATGTTAAAATTTTACATCTTAGGTACCAAAATGGAAGTTTTGAAAGTACGTTACCCAAAATAAGAATCAAATCAAAGTACGTAATTTTTTCATGCAATTTGCTCTTTTGAAAGTAGGTTTTACCTAAATTATAATGTAATTTTTCTTGAAGTATATTATTTACTGAGCATAGTTCTTACATTTAATAAGGTTCGAATTCCTGACATCATGAGAAGTTGAACTCCACTAATAACTGAGAATATCATTATGTCAATAACCTTCTAGTTTATATCATAATTCTCGTTTGCATGCAAAATACCACATCAAAACGACTGATACCCATATGGACCAGAACTCGTTTATCTAGTAAAATACGCATAAAAAATTTCTCTGTCATTAGACAAAAATTAAAAAAACCGCTACGTTTTTCTTTTATTATTATTTAATGATATATTTTGTTATGTGAATGTACAGTGTTGTTTCACAATATAAAACAAAAATAAAACAACATATAATTATTGATAAAAATAATTATATTGTAAAATAATATTATATTTTGTATATGTATTATTTTAAAATATAAAACAACACATGATTTTCATTATTTTGATTATTTTCATGTTATATATTCTTTTAAATGAAAATAATAATAATAATGTTAGTGGGACATGAAGACAAGTAAGGGGTAATTATAGCAAAAGATACATAAAGTAAGGGGGTGACTGTAAATTGTAGAAGTATTGGGTCGGGGCGAGAGGACGTGGGGTCCAATAAGGTCAACCAGGAGGCTCATTCTCTATGACTAACTTCTCAACCTGTTTACGACCACTGGTTTTTATTAGAATAAAGTGTATCGAATTAAATATTATTTTGAGTAAATTACATTCCTGGTCACTGTGGTTTGCAGTTTGTTTGACTAAGGTTTTTAAAACACGTTTATTACACTCATGGTGCTTGTGGTATGTGAAAACGTACGCTTCAAGTCCTTCCCTCTAACAAAATCAAAGATACTCTGTTAACCAAGTTAAGTTTGAGGGTATTTTCGTCTTTTACTCTTTTTTTTTTTGTCTTTTATAATAGGGATCAAAACTGTAGTTAATTCTAACATATGTTCTATATATTTTTTATTATATTACACACACATACATATCATCGTCCCCGTGAAATACAACCAGGGACGTTCCAATATTTTTGAAGGCTCTGCTACATCCAAAACTTTTGATTACATTGCATAAATGAGATAACAGAGAATATATGTTAAGAACAAAAATGGGCTAAACCTAAAACAATTAACAATCTGAAACTAAACCTAAACCATTAATGATTTGAACCTAAAACCAAACGATTAATGGTTTGAACCTAAATAATTCCAGCTATAGTTTTACACAGGTCGATAAAAAGCCTTAAATACATGTAAATTTGGGCCCCAAACTTTCGGAAGCCCTGTTCAAAATCTCGCATTTAACATGCTAAGGGACGGCCCTGAATACAACCCAACTCTGACGTCTCTTGCATCTCCGGTAAAATCCAACACAAACAACCACCTTCTTCACCTTTCCATCGACACCCAATACCCATAGTCTACCACGCCTTCCATCCATCATCTATCTGCAACTTTTCTCCCTTCTCTCTGTAACTCATTTTAATGTGGGTTGAAGATGTTTCATGTTGGGACGAGGTAGGGAGGTGGGTTCCAAGATAGATGAATAAGATGGCAGGTTGAGAGGGGACGAAAGAGATAACTATGGTTTTGTGTGTGTATGAGAAAGGAGACGGAGGTGGACTTGGTGGTGGCAATGGGTTAGCCGGAGATGAAAGGTGGGTGATGATCACATTGCTTCTGTTGTCAGCCCGCCTAAAACAGAGGTCGATAAAAAGGAGGATGCCAGAGATGGGTTTCACGATGGGAGGTGGGGAAGATGATTGTGGGTTGTTTGCGTGTGAGAGAACGAAGATGGAGAGAGAGAGAGAGAGAGAGAGAGAGTAAAGAGAGGTGGTCGGAGGTGGTGGCCGACAATAATGTTAAAGGAAAGGAATGTCGACTCTGTGTATTACACACACACATATATAGTATAATGATATAATCTAATAAAACAAAATAGAAAAAGACCAAAAAAAAAAAAGGTAAAAGATGAAAATGACTTTTGAGTTAACTGGGTTAATAAATTTCGTTAGAGGAAGGGACTCAGAATGTGCGTTTTTGCATACCACAAGGACGCATAACATAATAAACACGTTTGAGGGATCGTGATAGGGAAAACCAACAAACCACATGGACTAGAAATGTAATTTACTCTATTATTTTATATAAAACAGGATACTTTTTACAATATTTGAGTAACAAGTTGATTATCGACAACTTTAACCGGTTTCATACTGAATCTACTTTTAAAGACATTAATACAAGGGAATATTTTTTAATTCACTCGGTGATCGAAAGTAATTACATCTGAGATTAAATCATTTTATAACACACATAAAATTGCATTTTTTTTCAAATATATTATTCATATAAAATAAAATAAAATATATATATCTATACTATATTATAATGCATTTGACTAAAACTCTTAAAAACTCTTAAAACTCTTAAAC